CCCCAAAACCCCAAAACCCCAAAACCCCAAAACCCCTTTTAGAATTTTTCATATTGAATTTCGAATTTATGAAATTATCTAGGTGGATTCAATTTGGTCCTTTTGGTCAACAGCCTCATTCAAGCCTTTAGAGCTACTATGCTGATTAGTAGATGTCTTTTTAAGAAATTTTAGCTTGTTTTTGAAAGGGATATGGTCCCTGAAGTTCTTAATTCCACTAGCTATGCTATCACTCTCGCATCCTGTAAAGTTAGAATTAGAGTATTTGAGTACATCTGGTTTACTCTGAAACTTCTGCTCTTCACTATTCGCAATATTTATGGTAGAGGTGTTTTCTTTGTGACTGGCACTCTGTACCTTAGAATCAGCTCTGCTTAGAGAATCTTCCATTGACTCGAATGGAGTGTCTAAATCCATTTCTTTAATATTATTGGACCCAGATTCATCTTGACCAATTTGCTTTAGAATGCTTCTAATATTATTTTTATCTTTTTCTTTCTATATCTTAAAACTATTTTGCTTACTTCAGCTTGCTTTTGAAGGTTCTTCCTTCTACTTGAAAATTGACTTTGATTATCTTCAACAAAGGTATCTATTTTGATCATCACAGGAGTATCCCTAATTGTCGCTCTCTTTTGTAATTGAGGCTTACTTCTCTGTCTTCGAGGGTTAATATTCCCATTCTTAAGAGCTTTTAGTAACAACTTAGGGATAGATTTGATCTTAGTTGCTATTTCTGTGTCAAATCTGAAACCTACCTGGCATCAGTTGAGTCTTCGTCCTATCAATTTTCTTTTTAATAGGAGGAACTTTTGTCATACGGGTGACTATTTTTGAGCTATTCAGTATTTCTTGGTTTAATCCTTCTTTATGTTAAGTTTGCTAGAACCAGTATTTTTGATGGGCTTGGCTTTATCGTTTCTGCTCAGGATGTTCATAGCCGTCTCTTTTTGGTCTTGCATTCCCATTGATTTGTAACTCATGAGTGAGTCTTGGAAGTTACTCTTAATCCAAGATTTTTGAGCATCTTCAAGGGTAGATTTGACTAATAACTTCTGGAGCTTGTAAAGTCTCCTATTCCACCAATATTTCTCATGGTCTTGGTCATCCCAATGACTAAGCTTTAAGTCATATGGTGTCTTTATCTCTACTATTTTGGGTAAAGCAAGAAGTACCTGGTGAGTTATACTTCGAGAAATTAACTGGACTCCTTCTTTTCAGGCTTGATGATTTTCTATTTGGTGTTTTACCCTCACTTATAGGTAATTTTCCAGAAGCTTCTGCTAGAGTGTAAATTAGACGAATTACTCTTAAAAGCTTGAGTATTTTTAGGATCTTCAATAATCACTGCTTCTTTATCCTCCTCTAGAGATTTGGCTGGGTTGATTGCTTCCTTCTAAAAATTATAGAATTCTTACAGTATTAGTCTGGAAACCTTGTTCGATATCATCCCCATATATGTTCTCTTCTTGGAGAGGAGTGTTTGATTCTTCGTGAAAACCTTCATCTTCGTTTTCTAAGAACTGAGGCTCGGACCTAAACGTGTGAATTTTGGTATGAATTCAACTGGTTACTTTCAACTTTGTTCGTGGCTTTCAGCAACTATATTATTTAGAGGAATTTATACTCTCTTGTTGGGTAAGAACCTGCCTTTGTTGAGAACTCACGGTTAGGTTAATCCGACTTCAGTGCAGAACCTTATTAACTACACACAAAAATTAGCCTACAGTCACATTTTGTACGGGGAAATTTAGGAATTTGTTAAGGAAATTACCAATTTTCTTGAACTTTGGCTTAGGGATTTGTGAGTGGTTGTCCCATGATTTTGAGGAGATGGAGGAGGCTGGTACTGGGAATGTGAGGGAGGGAGGAGAGATAGAAGGGGTTGGAGGGAGGGGGTTAGGGGAGGACTTACAAGTAGCTTGGAGTAGTTTATGGGTTATGATTGCGATTATGAGGAATGTGAGGGTTATTCATAAGGCAGTAAGCATACGGAGATGGAGTTTGAAGTTGAAAATAAATATAAAACCTATACCAAGTACTATTCCTATACATGCGATTATGTATGGAAGGGTTGATATAAATTCAGATCATTGAGATTTAGTGCATCATGAATTTCAGTTAAATATTTGATCATTTCAGGATATTCATTTTCATTTATTTTGGAGAAATTCCGTGAGGCTTGATGAAATTAATTTCATTGCACCTGAGCTTAGCTCTATCAAACTTGGAAGCTAGAGTAATTTATGCATTGTTATTGTGGGGAACTGTAGAAAATATCTGTCACAGTATTGTCCCCCTCATTCACATGAATCAATATTAGGTGTGGTGACAACATGATTGTTCTGGACAGATTCAAAGTATTTCGATGATTTTTGAGGAAGCTTGTCAAATTCTATTTTCCAATCAATTTCCTTTCTCTTTAGTTTACAAGTATGTTCAACTCCTTGTTCTGCAAACACACTGTCTTGTGAATACATATCAAATTCATTAACTTTCGGTTCCATTTTTACCAATAATTTATTAATAATTTATCCATAAATTCAATCATTTAAATCCCATAAGGGGTTTTGGGGTTTTGGGGTTTTGGGGTTTTGGGG